AGACCCTGTTGACTATTTGCAACAAAATGTTTGATGGTTCTGTGGTCACACCCCAATATTTTAGCAATTTCAAGAGTGCTGCATCTCTCTGAAAGACTTTTTACAAGTTTTGACTTTTCAGAGTCAGTTAAATCTCTTTTTTGGCCCATTTTGCCTGAGGAAAAGAAGCTGCCTAATAATTATGCACACCCTCCCTCATTACACAAATACACATCACCTGATATGCTTATATCCAATAAGCATTCAGGTTTATACAGCTTGGAGGTGGAAAATATGCATAAAAATGATGATATGCATCATCATCAAAATACTCACTCGCCTAATAATTGTGCACACAGTGTAGAGATCTGCCTTGTGGCACTGTTAGAAGGACCAAAACAATAACAAGCATTTGATATGGGAAAAGTACCACGCATAGTTCTTCTTCAGCTGCATTATTAGGCCCAAGGAAGAACTTTTTTCACTGCATCCTGAGACTTGGCCCTGTTAGTTTCCACTCAGAAATAGATAGAGTTAATGTGGACTGGTCAATACAAAGTACAACCTAATGTGCTTCAGAAAAAGGAAGGCAAATAAAATGAAGAGATTTTTAGAAATGAAAAATATTTTTCCATAAATTGTTTGTTGTGTCCTCAGAATTCAGATGGCCCATGCCTTCACCGAATAGCTGTTCAGAGGGACAGGTGAGTCCTAAATACTTAGACCTTGAAGTCAGGATGACATTTATAGTATGCATAGAATAATCCTAAAATTCTCCTGTGGTGGAATGACCAGAAGATGTTGTGGAAGTGCTGCTCCACTGACAAAGATGGAAGTGCTCCTGCAGGTTGGCACTTGTACCTTGGAGGCTCCCAGGGTCCTGAGAACATACATATGCCACCTGTGGAGTTCCTGCTTGTGGAGGGACAGTACTGTGGCATGTTGTGTGGGGGCTGCATATGGGCTTAGGCCTGCAGGATACATGGCCCCTTCATTCTCTTTGGCCTGATACACTCATCAACTGGATCTAAAAGAGCATTCACACTGGAGATGGCTTGAGTTCCCTCTCGTAATAGTTCGTGTGAAGAGACACAGGAGGAAAGAGGCATCTGTTTCACCCACTTTTAGCCCAATGGGCCAGCACATCTCTGGATGCAGTAGTATTTCCACCATGGATCTTCAAACGTAGGTTCACTTTCTCACTTGAGCAATTCAGCATTGTCTCTGAGCAGCAGCCTAATGGCCTTTTAAATGAAAAACAGCCCCACCTAACATTACAATAGGATTTAATGACATGATCTGCCTAGGTTAAGCAAACTCTGAAGAGTTGCAGGTAGTTATTGCATTGAAGTGCCTCAACCTAGTAACTAGTATGTTTTGCCTTGTAACCTTAAGGATCAGAAGCTAGGTTTTTAAGAAACCAAACTAGGATTTTTCAGGATACTAAAGTAAATGGCACATACGGCTTCTACATTTATGTTATGTAGGAGTAAAATATATTAGATCTCTGCAGGACTGGACTCAAGCATTTGATCTTGGGAAAAGACCCTTGTTCTAAGGTATCACACTGCAGTCATGCTCCCATGTTCTCCCAAGCAAATTTAGAGCTTGAATCCAAACTGCTGCCATCGCACAGAGCCTTAAATATATCTGGTGCTGGTTTATTTGTTCACCAAGACAGATGTGGAAATTATTCTCCTGGAATTTTACTCTTGACGTTTGTTTGTTTGTTTGTTTGTGAAAAAAACTTTCAAAACTTTAGTTTTCTATCCAGTATAGTATACATATAATGGCAGTGAATTATAGGCCTTTGTTTGATTTCGTATTTCTTCACTGCAGTTCTCCCCCCATCCTCGTCCTTAATGGTGTTTGGGGGGGGGTTGTTTTGCAGAGTCTCCATTGCAACATTACTACTCAACTGGAACACCTCTTCAGTTCACCGCCAAATGTGAGCAGCCAAGTAGATTCAGAGAAGCAACTGAGGGTATGTTCTTTGCTGGCTCGGAGGAAAAGGCACCTCGGGAAAATATGTGGGGAGAGAAGCTGACAGGAGATGCTTTGAAGGCAGCTCCTTGCCTTGCCTCCACCACATACTAAGACCAAGAACAGCTCAGACTTTTGGCATTTCTCACATTGCACATGATTGCACAACATTGCAGTCTAAAAGGGTATCACAGGAAACTCCACATTCACTAATCAAATAACAGTTGGTTCTTTGGGTTTTTTTGCGTTTCCTGCCTTTCTCCAACAAATGTACCCTCAAACTAGATAGGAGGGTGTATGTGGTTTTGCATGACCCCTGCTCTGCTTTCTATTCTTCATTAATGGGCTTTGCAAGCTAAGCATCCTAGGCTAAATGGTGGTGTAAAAATCCTGGGAAACTGTTGCAGTTTAGTTTGGGGGGTACAAGGGGTACTTGTTTAAAGGTAAAAGAAGCAGCAGCCGGGTTCACATTTTTTCATGCGCGCTGCAAGTATTTTATTTTCTCTCTCAGCCAGGAAACTTCTGCTTCCCAGCTGTCCATTGCTGCAGACCTTGCTTCGGCCTCCTTCATTTGCATCCTGCCCTTCAAGCTTCTCTTCTGCCTGAAGGCTCCCTGAGCCACCCACCCCTTCCCCATCACTTAACACAAACAAGGATTGCCCAGTGCTGGCCAGGGCAGCTCAGTTTAGAGGCTGCCTACGACCAATCCCAGCTGTGTGCATCATATGGAAGGCGGGTGGGGAGAGGGAGGGAGGGGGGAGGGAGAAAGGAAGAAAAGCGGGGTCAGCATCAAATAGAGGGCTGGTAGACAAAACTTTTATTCTGAGTATAAAAAAAACAGAAGCCTCCACGCATTTCAGCTGGTAAGAGGCTAGCAAATAGATAAAGCCATGTCACCAGCCATTAACTCTCAGAAAGGTATTTCTGCCTCCCAGAATGATGTAGAATAACACCCTTACATGAATTCCTTTAAAAAGTAAACAACAGCTAAAACATGTATTACTATTCCAGTCACACATACTATTTTGTATGACTTTTAAAAAGCAAGGAAAAATATTTGAGTTGGAATAAGAATAACATGCAAAAAATAATTCAAGTGAATATCTGCAGTATATAGAAACATGCAGTGTATAACAGCATCACCATCCTTTTTATTGACAGACCCCTGGCTGGGCTGTGGTCATAGGTCCTTTAATTGTGAATTTCCAAATAGATCACAGCCAGTTGTTAATGATGAAGGAACCAGTTTTCATAACACCCAAATGCCCATTTGATTAAGAATGCAAGGGCATGAAGCTCATTGTCTACAACTGCTGTTCCTAGGTTGATCATTTATGTAGTACATGAGGATACAAATCAGTGTATAAACTAATATATTCAATTTGTCTCAAATCAATGGAGCCTTCTTTTTAGCAGTTGTGTTTTGAATAAGGAATTAATGTGCAGAATATTTCTTTACATACTCCTCTCCCCTCACCCCACCTCAATTAATCGCAAGTGATTTTCTGAGAAATTTGGAAAAACTGAAATGATTTTACTGTAAAAATGGGAGATTTTGCTTTGATAGTCTGTTTTGAGGGGGACATACCAATCTTGCTTTGGGTTTTTTTTTTTGGTTCTGTTTTTTTTATTGGCTTTGCCACTCAAGTACTTTCTAGCTGTTTTGTGGCCACAACTGTCATCATCTCAATCAACTTGATAATTAGCTGTGTTTGCTGGAAATAATGGGTGTTCTAGCCCCAGAACAACTGTAGGATGAGGGAAAGCTGATGATGTAACACATTAGGTCATATTTTCATCCATTGGCAAGGATCCCGAACCACATGGGGCCAAAATGTGGCATTTTGAAAATGTGCCATAGGCCTACCCACAGAATGGCTCCAGTGGAGTCAGTGGCCAATCATAGTACCTACAGACCAGAAGACATTCTTTTTCCACCTCAGCTTTCATCTTTTTTGGGGGGTGGGAGGGCACACTTCCAAACAAAGTACTTTTCTCTGAAATTGTACAGTCTGTGTGGGACCCAGAGGCGTTCCTGGCCATAAAGACGATGCTTGATGCCAGTGCTCTACTTTATAGCGTGCTAGCTTACCATTTAATTTTTTTAATTAAAAGAATCTTTTAATGGAATAACAATGGAGGCATCACCAGGTGTACTCAGTAGGCTACTGGTAAAGAGACAGATTATCTCTTAGAGATAACCTAAGAATCCTGCTGAAATTCACCATCCCTGTGCTTATCTATGCACAGTGGCTTTAATAATGCACCAGAGTGAGTCTCTGAGTGCCAGCTTTTCCCATAAACACCAGTGTGTCATATCTTCCATCTTAGAAAACACTGGACACACTGGACAATCTATTGATCTTGATGAAGGATGAGAATAAGGAGCAAAAACACCAGGTGGCCACTGAGATGATGAAACTGATGGAGGCCTGGCTCAGAATGTTTGCATTTGCCCTACCCAGGGGGAACACTGCCATCAGGTCCAGTGCAGGCACAGGTTAGTATACGGAGTTGGGGTGATTTGAGATTTCCCTAATGGCATTGCCCAGGAATTTTCTCCTTCCTCCCCTGCAAAGGCACTTCCTTTGTGTCTTAGCCATCCCTAACCTGGTGTCTTCCAGATGAATTAGACTGTGGTTGATTGGGAATGTTGGGGGATATACTACTAGGTATCTGGAGAGGTCCCAGGATGGGAAAGCTCTTTTGTGCCATTGAACTTTCTGAGGAGGAGGCCAGTTTTGAAACATGAAATCAGCTCTCCTTCCCCAGTTTCATCCTGCTTTATGGTAGATCTCCCCCTTGCTGAGTAAATCTGTTGCCTGAATAGTTGGAATATTTTGAAGAAAGTGATGTTTGTTTCAAAGATTCTGCCACTTGCCCTTTTCTGTTCCCTGTTAACTTTGTCATCTCCCTTTTCATAATAGAATTGGCAATAGAAATCAGGACAGCTGAGAACACAAGCCAAAGTCTGGCGCAACCGTGGCTGAATGAAACACAGATGGAACTAAGCTGGGAAGCAGCAAGCAAGGAGGGAGAAGGTGAAAACCAGCAGTGAAACGATGGGGTGGTGTGTGGGTGTGCTGTGAGAAGAACAGAATGCCTGTAATGGCCTGGAAAAGCTGAGGGGAAGGCAGCAGAAGAGCTCTTCTTGGGTCAAAGCTGAGGGGCCAGACTGTGGGTATGGGAGAGAGGTTCGGTTCTCTTGGGGAGCAACGTTGTCATAGGAGTAATTAGTTGAGAAACTTACATCAGTGGCAGGTGCAACACATTTTCTTGCTCTCTCGTTTCTTTCCCTATTCAGCAGATTGCTGCAGAAGAGATGGGTAGTTCTTGCCAAGGGTCTAGATGACTGGTGGAGGATTTTCTTTCTTACTCCATCTCCTTCCTTCCTTACTCCGTTTCCTTCCTTCCTTACTTTGTCTCCTTCTTTCTGCCTGTTTTCTTTTTCTTTATGAGCTTGTGACGCCACTACACTTCTGTTCCACTCAGCATCACTTAGGCCTTGAGCAGTACATTGCCTTTCCAGGGGAATGGGCAAAGAGGTAGAATCAAGGTACCATGATGGGCCAGGAGAGGGAAAAACCTGGGAGCGTTTTCCTTGCAGCTGGTGTGAATATAGATTAAGAGAAGTGAAGAAGCAACTAATTTTGAAGATAAAATAAAATAAAGTTTTATTTTAAGAAAAATAACGGCAAGAGAAAAGGGTTGTTAATTTTTTTCTTACCATATTAGATGAGAGGGTTGTTCAAAAGAGCTGATTGGGAAAATGTTCAGGACACAATTTTGGATTTAATGTATGGAATTCCTTGCAACTAGTGATGACCTTGAATAACTTTTAAAATATATTTGACCAAATACAGCATCCATATTTCTAAAATATTTCTGAACACATGTTGTGGGGGAGAGATTTAAGGGAAAGATTGTCTCTGTTTGAGCTTCCCAGAAGCATCAGTCTATTCATGTTTGCCAACAAAATATTAAACAGGATGGACTTTTGGTCTGATGCAAGACAATTCTTATTTTTTGAAGAAATGACGGAGGCAGCTTCTTTTTGTGTTGATAAGTCTCTTAAACCTTGATGACACATGAACACAATAAAAATTTTAATATATATTTTTATTGAACATGGGGAAATATATAAACAGAAGGAGAAGACAAAAAAGGCAAAGAAATAGAATCAGGTGAATAAACAAATATGTTAACATTATAATTTTCCATTATTCCAGTAAGTGATTGGAGATAACTGAATATACTATGTTGTTTAAATACTTGAAAATTATAATTAAACTCTTCACAGAATATAAATTTCCAGAGCAACAGACTGCAAAATAAATGGTTAACTGGGAATTACACAATGAGACTGTGGAGAGAGAAGAGTATTAAAAAAAAATCTGTATGAATACCTTTCCAAAATCATACAAGAGAAAATTCCCTGCTGTGCTAGTTCTCTGCTTTCACACAGGCCTGAATTTGCACGTACCATTTCCTTCCATTGCCAGTTTAAACAGACAGAGTCCACTCAACTATTTTAAGGCTCACTGCATTTTCCTGCTTTGGATTGTCTCATCCCAGTAGCTGCTCCATCCTCAGATCTGAATCGCTCTTCCCTTTTCAGCCCTCAGCGTTGTTGGCCTCCTCTCCTACCAGAACCTGGGGGGCATCCTGACGGGCGCACATGTTGAAGGAGCAGACTGGGAGCAAATAGGAAAGTCAAAGCAATGGGTGCAGGAGACCGGCAAACCCAACTACAAAGTGCTGTCTAAGGTGGCATCTGCTTTTGTGGGCCATAACGAGACCGCTGCCCTGAGCAATCCCGTCACATTCTCCTTTAACCATCCAGAACCAGTGAGTATCCATTTCTTTTTTGTCTTCCCTGGATCTACAGGATAAGCGATAATGTACTCTTTCCTTATTCTCATAATGCCCATTTACATGAGGAAAATGAGCTTTTCAGAAGAGAAGGTACTGTATAATTTACTTTGTCTTCTACTTAGCCAAACTCAAAGGTGAGCTGTTTGACCAGATTTTGCCACTGAGTCACATTAAAGATTAGGAAACCCAACTTGTCCACTTTCCTCACTTTCTATATGCATGGAGTTCAAATTTGTATATATTTGGCAATATTGGCTCACCCGTCCCTATCTTCCTGTTTTTCCTTCTAGGAATCAAAGCCTGATATGAAGGTGATTTGTGCTTCCTGGAAGCCCACTGGGAGGAGTGGACATTGGTCTCAAGAAGGCTGTGTACGTCTGAACAACAGTATTGCCAACAGGACATGTTGCCGCTGCAACCACCTGACCAGCTTTGCGGTGCTCATGGCCTTCTACGATGTGGAGGCAAGTCCCAACAATATAGTAGAGAACTGAGGAATGGGTTTAGGCATGGTAGAGAAGTGAAAAAATGAATGTATGATTGACTTGTGATTCACAATTTGTGTTCCTTGTATAACATTCAAAGAAGAAATATACATTTCTAGCACAAATCTAATACTCATGTCTTTTATCTGTGAAGATGCATTATCTCTTTTAAGATGCTGTGTTAGACATGGGGAGATTATGTATTAGGATTCATGTATTAGATTTCTAACTCACTCAGTAACCTAAGTTGTTTGAACTGATTACAAAATTGCTTATTAAAAACAAGCAACATAGAATAAGGCAACATGTGGCAATGGCAGTGGCCTTTTTGAACAGAAGAGGGCAGGAGCCTCAGGCAGTCCAGTTTCTGTGGCAGCAGTCTGGAGTTGGGCAGCACCAAAGTGTAAATAAATAAGTAAGTAAGTATTTGCACTTCCACTCACTCTTCCACTCTCGCCATTTTCGTGTCTCTCCTTGGTTTGCCAGTTTGCTCACTCACTTGGTGTCTAGCCTGCCACTAGGAGATCATCCAGGCACCAGAGGCTCAGACAAAACATGCCATGAGAGAAAGGGGAAGCGAGCACAAGATGGTAGGAGAAGGGAGAAGGAGACTTCTTTGCAGATGGCTCGGTTCAACTCAGTAGGCTGGCTAGTAGAAAGACTGGCCTGTTCCTCCCTCCAACTGGATACTGGGGAAATGGGGCCTGCAGGTCCTTCACTGTCCAGAGATCTACAAAAACAGTAGCTAGGCCATGGGGGTAGTGGTGATGGTGGGCTCCTAAAGCAAAAATATTGGGACAAAATTAGAACCAAGGCAGGATTTTGACCAGATTATTTACAGGGAAGTGCAGCTCTAATGGGAAACAGGTTCCTGGTATTTAAGGAGAAGGTGGTGTGATCAAAGCAGACTGTCTAAAAAGGAAAAAACACTTCACTATCTTCAGCCTGGAGATGTGGTCTGCTAAACTATTTTTCAGTCTGATTTCTGAGCTCTTCTTTCTATTGTCTTCTCCTGAAGCATCCAGTAATTGTCTCCTAGATACTGGCAATTAGAGTGTAACTCATTAGCTTTTTATTACCTGAAGCTTCTGTGAAATTCTTTTCAAGTAGAGTTGCAAAGACCCGCCTTATACTGCATCACCTTAATTAATTGCCTACACTGGTCTTTACTCCAGGACAAGGGTCTGACTATCATCACGAAGGTTGGGCTGGTTGTATCTCTGATCTGCCTGTTCTTCTCCATCCTCACCTTCCTGTTCTGCCCTGCCATCCGAGGTATCCGCACCACTATCCACCTCCACCTTTGCCTGGCACTTTTTGCTGCCCACGTCATCTTCTTGGGCGCTGGAGCATCTAGCAATACAGTACGTAGCTGGGATGGATTTCAATTACGTGCTTGGGGGAGGCGTTATGAGGAAAACAGCTGAGATAAATGAATGGAAAATCCTTCACTTAATGGGAAAGGCTGGGTGTGGCCACTCCCCTTTAAAGTGCATTAAGAAATGGATTCCAGACCTCCCGCTTTTAGAAGATAATTAAAAATGCATCTCCCTCTCCTTCAATAGAGAACTTGGTAGAGTGTGGATTTCTGTCCTGGTAGCCAATTTCTGACAGTTGGGAGCTAAGCTCCGCCTTCCCACCATCCAAGTCACGTGCCGTTTAATGCATAGGGGAAAGTTGCCTGATGGGAGGGAAATGTTGTTTGCTAGCTCCTGCTCTGATTAATTAGTGTCCTGTAAGTCCAGTCTAGGTCACAGCATGACAAAGGTCTATGCTTGTTCCTTCAAGATCAGAGTATCTAACTGACCAAACTGAATGAGGATGCCGAGAGACAGCAGTATTAAGGAGTGTCATTGGACCTTAAAGAAGTAGGAGCAGGGAGTGCATTACATTTCTATTTGAAGAGAATTTTCCTGGGTATGGAGGATGTCCTCCTCCTGGAAGAGGAAGGATGTTTGAAAAAACAGGCAAGCTTTTCCTGCATCCTCTGCCATCATGCCCGTCAGTGTTCACCATAATGGACTGGATCTTGAAACTGCTGACGGAACAGCTCAGTCTAACCTTCCCTTGGTTTTATTTCCCTTCTTAGATGGCATGTGCTGTAGTTGCTGGACTGCTCCATTATTTCTTCCTCAGCGTCTTCTGTTGGATGCTACTGGAGGGTGTGCAGCTCTACTTGATGGTGGTTCAGGTCTTCAAAACACACAGCCTTAAACACTGGCACATCTTCCTTGTGGGGTATGGGCTCCCAGCCGTCTTGGTGGGCATCTCTGCTGCCGTCAACAGCAAAGGATACGGCAACAAAAAGTGAGTCCTGAATTTGTGTACCCCCCCTGTCCATGAGCTAGAGAATACCTGTGCATTGTGCATGGAAGCTCAAGCTACCATGTCCTGAATATAAATGAGTGTGTCAGTAGGTCATCTAGTGCATGTCATGCTGGTATTGCTTGTGAAGTGAAAGGGCTGAGCAGGCAAGTAAAGGAACCTACAAAGGCCACTTCTCCCTCTACGCACCTGCCATTCCTGCATGACAGATAGTGAGCTCTTATAGGGAAGTGAATTTCTAAAGGGACAGAGGAACAGATCCAAGTGATCTGCCAGGAAAGAAGTACAGGTTCAGCTACCTGCAAAACAAGTCACCTTCTGTCTTTCCACACAGCTGCTGGCTTTCCAGGGAACGTGGGTTCTTGTGGAGCTTCCTGGCCCCTGTCTCCATCATCATCCTGGTAATGCTTAATGCATACTCAAGCTGTGCCTTCTTCCTTCTGAACTCTGCCTTGGGAGCTACTTAAAATGTTACTCTCTGTACTGTACCCCAGCTTGTGTCTACTGTAGCCTTTTTGAAAGCATCTTATTATTTGTACTTAGCTTTGGGTGCAGTGGTCTAGCTCCTGCTGTATGTCCTTTGATCCACCTCTACTAGTGACAAGTTCTAGCTCTCCTTTAGAGAAGCATGAGCCTCAGTTCTTACATATGTTAACTGATGTCAAGTTAAAGCGCTCCTCTTCTCCCCCCCCCCCATCCATACATACATGATATGACTAAAGTGAAGCAACTCTTG